TTCTCCAACAACTGGTCCCTCCTGACAATATGTCCCAAGTATGAGAGACGAAGACCCATAGAAACCCTATATAGGGTTTCCAAGGATCAGCTGGTGAGCTTGAACTACCAAGCTTGAGCTTCAAAGCAACTTTGTGGTCCAGTGCATTAACCCACAGCACCACACCAGGAATCCCTCACTCTTCCCCCTCTCCCTCTCTCTCTCTCTGTATATACCTACATAGATAGATAGATAGATGGGGGCGGGGGGAGAAGAGAGGGATTCCTGGTATGGCACTGTAGAGTAAGCATGGACTGCAGTTTAAACTCACCAGCTGCTCTTTGGAAACCTTATACAGGGTCACTGTGATTCAGAACTGATTCAATGGCACTTAATAATAACATATATATGTGTAGCATTTTTAATACAGTATCATATTTTATCTGGAAGATAACCTGGTGGAAAGGATTGTATGAAAGTACAGAAAAAATTTTCAGGGAAAAAGGATGAGGTAGGGAAAACAACAACAACAAAAATACAAAACCAAAATAGAAATAAGAAAACTGTAGACCTCAAAGAGAATAAGTTAAAGACATTAAAACTTGACTTCAGAAATAAGTCGACATATGAATTTATCTATAATTTTATCGCAATCTAGAAATCTATTATTTTATTGTGATTTAGAAGTTGAAGATGGTATATATACTTTGAAGACCTAATAAATATGTTCTTTCACTCATTTGTTTATTCAACAAATATTTATTGAGCAACTAGTATGTTGGTATGGCGCTGTAGGATAAACACTGTACTGCTAACTGCAAGGTCATTAGTTCAAACCCACCAGCTACTCTGCGGAAACCCTATGCTGGGTTGCTATAAGTCAGAACCAACTCCACGGCACTTAACAAAAACAACAACTATTGTGCTTGAGTCCTGCATTAGGCACCAGGAGTAGAATTTTGAACAAGCCACTGTTTCTACTTTCATCAGAGATCACAGACTAAACAGGAAAACAAAGAATTGAAATGTGTGAAACCCTATCTTGCTTGTTTTTTTAGTAAATAGTGGTTTAAATTTCTTTATGCAAAAATATAGTCAAGACTAGTAGAAAAAATGAGCACTGTTTCCCTCCTACTAGAATTCTATCTTCCTAATTCTATCTCAGCAACCTGAAAGGGACAAATTGGCTAAAGAAAGAGAGAATTCTACGTCTTCAACAGACCATGACAAAAATAGGGCTAAATTATTATTTCTAAGAAAGTGAAATTACTTTTTATCTGCTTCCACTGAATAGCTTTCCCTTTTGTGCACATAACTCTAATAGCACTGATGGCAGAACGAACAATTTCTCACAATAGACAATACAGCCCCCCAAATTAGTCTCCTGTGTGCAAAATAACACTTTTATAACAATGGGCAATTCATGCCTGTGCTCTCTAGACCTTTGTCAAACAGAATACCAGTGCAGGCTAATTACCTGAGCTAGCTGAAAATTGTGTGAGTAACGGAAAGGCAACCCCCTAAAGAATAGCTGAGGAAAGGTCTTAACATTGAATATAACACAACAGAAAAAAAATTAGAGTACAAATATGACAGCATATGCACAGGAATTCTCATTAGCATGCTGCAGTTAGCCATTTGGGTTGATGCACATAAAAGAGTTGTAAAATTCTCTGCATTGAAAAAGGTAACTTCTATGATTCAAGGATTTTCCTCCTGTACTGATTTAAGTCCTTTGCTACCATGTACCGATATTGATCACCCTTATGTCAAGGACTTTTCTCACCCTGGGGAGCCAATACCATTAATGTCAGAGTGATTGCTGACGACAGTCATGCAACTTTCCCACATCGATCACCTGCCTTGTGTTATGGGTTGGTCATGTCGACCTAAAAAGTTGTGTTGTTGAAGTCCTAACTTCCAGTACCTGTGAATGTGACTTTGTTTGAAAATAGGGTGTTTGTAGGTGTGACTAGTTAACATGAGGTCATACTGGAGTAATATGAGCCCTAGTTTGTTTTGTATCCTTATGGAAAAAGAAGCACAGACTGAGGAAAGATAGCCATGCGAAGAAGGAGGCAAAGTTGCACAAATCAAGGACTCCTGGAATGACCAGAGGCTAGAAGAGGCAAGAAAGAATTCTTCCCTTCATAGATAATCTGGCTCTGCTGATACATGGATTGCAGACCACAACCTCCAGAGCTGTAAGAGAATCAATTTCTGTTGTTTCAAGTCACTCCATTTGTGGTACTCTGTTATGGCAGTTTCAAGAACTAACACAGCAAGCAAAGCACACAACCAGCTTTCCAATGATATGGAAAATAAAGGACTGATTTTTCCAAGTTAAACTTTTCTTGCATCGTTGTGCCAAAACGTCTGATATGAAGGGTAGTGCAAGAGGATTGGATTTAGAGCCTCTTGGGAAAACCACAGCATCAACACAGCCAACAAACAGCAAACAAAATGACAGCACCAGCATGGTCAGTACAGATAAACAGTCCATTTCTAGCTCATGGGATGCTTTAAGTTCATCCTGAAATTCAAGGAATTTATAGTGCACATAGAGAAGCATTTTCCAACTTAATTCTAGCCAATCTGTAGTGAGATAGGGTCCTTTGAAGAAGGAACAAGGCCTGGGCAAGATGTAGAGAAATCCACATGCAGTACTACCCAAAAAAAACAAAACTCACTGCTGTTGAATCTATTTTGACTCATGACTACAGCTAGACTGAGATTCAGGGCTCTGGTAGTGTAGGGGTTATGAATCAGGCTGCTAACCTTAAGGTCAGCAGTTCGAAACTACCAGCTGTTCCACAGAAGAAAGATGAGGCTTTCTGCTCCCGTAAAGATCTGCAGCCTCAGAAACCCTGTGCAGGAACACTATGAGTCGGAACCAACTCCTAGGTACTTAACAACAACAACAATGTGGGAGATCCAAGTTTTATTCCTAACCAATGCATTGTCACCACCTGTCACTTGAGGTTTACATGTTGCTAAGATACTGAATAGGTCTCAGTGGAGCCTCTAGACTAACACAGACTTGGAAGAAAGCTCTGGCAGTCCAAATACAAAAATATATA